TATCAGGCTCTATGAGTCAGTGTTCTTTGTCATCCAGGTCCCTCTGCCACCTGTCAGGCACTCGGGATTCCAGTAGCCGAGCAGTTAGTGCCCGGCAATACTGATGTTCCGTCTTTTGTCTTTTACTCTCTTCAGTGGACCTTGGTTTCCTCAGTTCTCAAACAAGACTCCCAATCTCTAGGTTGGCTCCTTGGACTTGGTTCCATGTGTGTCCCCTCAGCTCCATCCAGTGCTATCCTTGTCCCACAGCCACAAGCCAGGGAGCCATCAGAGATGTTCACCTGTGTCCTTTATTTTGTGCATAGAATCAGTGTGGAGTTCAGACTCTTTTCAAACCATGCATTCAGCCATTGCCTTTTCTTCTATTTCTTGGGCCACCGTCTTTGACCAAGAACTCATTGGTTTCCCAGCTATCCCTCTTGCCACCGAGAAAATAATTTTCTCTGCTGTGGATCTGACATTAGCATCTTTTTTCATGAACTCTGAACGTGGTTTTTCCATTTCCTTCTGATCAAGCCTAAGATTGTATCACACCCCTTTTGTTATCTTGTCATCTTTTATATTGTGTTTCAATATCTTTCTGTTTCAGAGAGAAATAATCTATGGAAGCATTTTGGACACGCAGAGAGAGAAATATGGTGTGTTAATTTAGTACAAGCTGGTCCAGCCTACAGTGACTGATGGATTTCTTTTCTAGCTTGCGAGATGATCGTGTGTCTTTCCTGACATTTCTTAAAAGGGACCTCCAGAGAGTGAGAAGCAGTTAGCTTTCTATTTATGGCACTTTATCATCTTTGTTTTGATAAAAATGGCTTATTTAAAAAAAGGTCCGAAGTAGCATTTCCACGCAGTCTGTTTTTGTGGTTGAAGATGCTTTTAGATTTTAAGAAGCTTTTTAGTCCCCAGAAATGCATGTTGGAATGTGAAGTGGCTCTAGTTTGCCCAAGATGCTCCTCCTTTAATTATAATGGTCACAGAGAGATTCTATTTTTGGCTTCTGGTTGAAGATTAAGGATCGAATGAGGATATGTTAGAAGTTAACTATGCAGCACTTGGGCAGTGACTTGAAGGTAAAGAAACCCATAAGATTTGTGATGCCACACAGTCCTGAGCCAAATCTTGCTTTTCCTTGTCACATTTCCCAAATGCTTTCTTGTTAATTAATGCTGACAATATCGATTAAGGATTGACTGAATTTCAGGTGCTATATTAGGTACCAGGGATTCAAACCTGAATAATAGCACAAATCGATTCCAGATGGATTTCAGATGTAATTGTGAAAGGTAAATGAATATGAAAGGAATGTGAAAGGTAAATGAATATGGGTGATCATTTTATGACACTGGAGTAGGCAAAGATTTTTTTTTTTTTTAAAGCAGGACCTGACTGGGCACACTGACTCACATCTGTAATCCCAGCAATTTGGGAGGCCAAGGTGGGAGGATCACCTTGAGCCTAGGAGGTAGACCAGCCTGGGCAACATAACAAGACCCCCATCTCTAAAAAAAAAAAAAAAAAAGAAATTAGCTGGTCATGGTGGTGCGCGCCTGTAGTCCTAGCTACTCGGGAGGCTGAGGTGGGAGGATCTCTTGAGCTCAGGAGTTCCAGGTACAGAGAGCCATGATTGCTCCATTGTATTTCAGCCTGGGCCACAGAACAAGTGCAAGACCCTGTCTCTATTAATAACAACAGCAACAATACGAGCAGGACCTAGAAAAGAAAAGGAATGGATGAAGGAAAAAAAATTGGACTATATTAAGATTTTAAATTTTTATTCATCAAAAGACATCATCAAAAGAGTGAAAAGATAGCCGAAGAGAATGGGAAGAGATTTGCCATACATATATGTAATTCCACAGAGAACTCATATCCAGAATATATAAAGAGTTCTTACAAATCGATAAGAAAAAGAAACACAATAGAAAAATGGGCAAAATACCTGAATAGTAATTTCACAAAGGAACTTATCTAAAAGAAAGACCAATAAACACGAAAATCTGTTCAATGTACAGTCTTCAGGGAAATGTCAATTGAAACCATAATGAAGTACTTGTACATATACACTGGGAATGGCTAACATGAAACAGACCCCAAATACCAAGGGTTGATGAAGATGTAGAACCACTAGTAATTTGGAAACCACTTTGGAAAATTGTTTGGCACTGTCTACTAAAGTGGAAAATGCATATACACACATATGGGTGTGTGTGTATATATATATACGTGTATAAATATACACATGGATATATGACCTCATTTCTAAATACCGAGTAAGACATCTAAGTATTGTACCTACTTTAGAAGTATGGAAACTGAGGCTTCCCTAGGTTAAGTGCCTTGTATGAGAGTGGAGGGCGTGGTGGGGCCAGGATTTGAACCTGGGCCTTCTGATTCATCCAGGGCGAGGCACTAAAAAACATTGAATGGGTATATATTGCTTTAGTGGGCTATATTTTATGTGGAATAAGGTCCTGATTTTTTTTGGCCATGTGCTACAATAAATGTTACAGGAGTCCTAAAATGAAAAACAAAGCAGAACAAAGTAAAACCCATCGGCCCACATTTTTTTTCTCTTCCTGGTATCTCTGGATGTCTGCACTTGACCAGAAAGAAGTGAAAGAAATCAGTTTTCCCTCTGACCTGCTATAAATTTACTGGCCTGAGGATGCAATGAGCTGGTGTGAACGCTTAAACCACACCATGCATCATGACGAATTAATAGGGCCACTTTGCCGCTTTCTGCCAAAGTGGCTCGAGTTGAATGAATCACAGTGGTATTAATAAAAGGAAAGGTTCTGCAAGGGTGGCCTCTTTTGAACACATCCTGCATAAATGGCTTCGGTTTTAAGGGAAATAAAACCTCGTACCCCGAGAACCTGGAGGGTATGATTGTTGGGCTCTGAGTATTTTGCGAAATGGTTTTCTAGCCGATGCAGCCGGGCACCTGCAGCCATGCTCACTTGCATTCCAATTCCACCCCTCCCCTGAAGCTGCCCGAGATTTTATTACCACTTAGAAACCCTGACATTCTGCAAATTGTCTGGTGAACCCTTAATGATTTCTCAAACAAGAGTGAGGCAATCTTCACGGTAATTTAAAATATTCCAGAGGTCAAGGGGAGCATTTATGGTTTCCTTTATCATGGAGCAAAATGGCTTTTTCAGTCAATCATTTAAGTAACACATTCTGTAGATTACGCGTATTATCACATCGGAATCCGCTCTTCGTGCTCCATTTCGTAGGTGCTTTGGGTATTTGTCAGGAAGGCAGGAAAGTCAGACCAGATGGCATGTGTTATTATTGGAAACAGATCATTGATTCATGGGAGCCTTTCTTCTTTTCTCTTCCTCTACTCTGTCTTCGGTTCTATCAGCAAAAACAGTCATTGGCTATCAGGAAAAAGAAAAGGGAAATTGACTCTCTTGGAATGGCTGGCTGAGTAAATGAAAAGGTGACCAGATGTGTGCTTTGTTCTAGGTTCATACTGAACATATTAGCTTTCGTGCAGAGTGTGATGGGGTTGCTGATACCCAGAAGGGGAATTTGAATTCACTTTGGTGGCTTAGAATTAGTGTAAGTCTCTCCAGGAGGGGAGCTTAGATAGGTTAGGTATCCACTTCTTCTTCTTCTTTTTTTTTCCTCTTGAAACCACTTTATGAATAGAAAAGTGTTAATTAGGTCATTTTATTCTCAGATTGTAAAATTTTGGAAGGTACATGTTTGGGTGGCACCTTGCCCAGTGCTTCTATTTGATGAGATGCTTTTGGATAATAATGGCAATAATATTAATTAAACAATCATGAGCACTTACATGAGTGGGGAAAAGCCATGGATTTTTCAGGTTATTGTCTAGACAAGAAAGTGACGTTGCTCCATGAGGTGGCATTCCACCGTCCACCTACCCCAGAGGGCGGCTGAATGTGCAGCTTTAGGAGTTGCTTTCAGAACCTCATCTTCAAACACTCCAAACATTTTCATATACAAGGTTTGTAAGGGAAGGATCGTGGAAAGCCCAGCAGAGTTGGGATCTGAGCTCTCTGCAGGAAGGAAAGCCATTGCCTTAGGGCACTTTTTGCCAAGATTTCTTGGCTAGAGCCAGGAAGGAAGGGTGTGGTGGGATAGCTTCTTAACCATGCTAAACATTCTCTGATGACTTCCTCTCCCAAAGAACATTCAAGAAATCAAATCCCTGGTTCCCCAGGGTCTGAATATATTATAACTTGGATAAATGAGGAAAGGGATTTGATATAGGCTAGGGTGGGAGGACAATACTGTAGAAAAATATCTCAGCAATGGGCTTACCTCCCTTCCTGCTTTGCTTTCTTACCAGGAAACTGACAATTGAGGGCTTCGATTGGGACCTGCCCTATTTCCATCCTCCTCTCCCCACCTCCCCGACTGGGGTTCTTTTTGAACTGTGAGCCAGCCATGTGTGTGGGAGGCACTGTGTCATCTCAAGTCAGTGGTGACAAACCAACCTCCCCTGCCTTGGATCAGAGGACGCCTCCTGTTTGAACAGTTCTGCAGGATCTCACTGCGTTTGCCTGGTTGGTACCATTTGCTGTAACAGGGGCATGAAGGCTGCGGCCGCTCTCAGTAGAATCATCCAGCTCCTCTCCCCCCATAATAGGATGAAGTTTTATCTCCCTGGAGAATCTGCCTACGTTGGGGCGGCCATATGTGTGTCTGTGAAGCCACAAGGCCTGAGCCACTCATTCACATTTGTCTGATCCGAGAGCAGCCCTCTCCCAAGCAGCTTGGAGGTGGTGGCTGCGGGGGAGAGATTTGCATTTCTGACCTGCTGCGTGCCTTTGCTGAATGAAATTCATATAATTACTACGCACCATGACTTCCTCTAGAGTTGTATCTGTTCTGGTTGGCTTTTTTTCTTCCTCCACTTCATCATCATCCAATTAATTAACAGTTGCCATGGTGACTGTTGCCATGGCAGCATAAAATTCTCCCAAAGGGCTTCTCATTCATATTCTAATGGAATCCATGCGCGAGGCTGGGCGGCTGGAAAAAGTGGTAAGGAGAATTCAAGAAGAATGGAAGAAACATCAGGAAAGAGCTGCCTCATCCCTTTGCTCTGCCCTGGCTAGCTTTGGCTCTAGCCTGCCTCACCTTAGGAAGAGATTGCTTATTTTTCTTTATTATTTCTTTCTGTAGACATGCCTGGCTATTCCTGGGGCTTATTATAGTCTTGGGTAAAGTGAGGCTTTTTCTGCTTTATGGCCACTCTCTTCTCTTACTTTTTTTCTTGTTCATAAAGTGAGGGGCACATTGATTCTCCTCTGCTGTTTAGTCTGACAGGCCTGCTGGTGGGATTTCTAGTGGATTCTCCATAGGCCAAATAAAGGAAGCAGAACACTGTCACTTACAACTGTTGGCAGCTTCCATCTCTCAAAAGAAGGTGATATCTGTCACCTGTCCACATACAGTTTCCCAGAAAACAATGATTCTAAGAAGATTTCTTAACTGCTTTTGCAAATCTATCCATAGACGGCTTATGCTTGGTGAATGTCTAACTACCTTCATTCACTCTCCCAGTGTCTCCAGAGAGGACTTTAAATTTCCAGAATGTTTCTTGCAACCCACATATCCCTGCTATTTTGACCTGACTCTGGTGACCTTAGCTCACTACCTCCTTCTGATGGGAGTGCCCCTATTTCAGCCTGCCTTGTAGCACTCAGCACCCCTGCAGTAGTTTAGTTCAGGTCTGCATCACCCTGCCGTGTCTTCCTGCTTTTTGCCGTGTCTTCCTGCTTTTAGTCTAGGCATCGTCAAACTATGGCCCTCGGGCCACTTGCGGGCTGCCTAGCGCATTTATCCGGGCGCTGCCTGTCCTGCTTAGCAGCCGACTTGTCCTGGGCCCACAGTGCTCACTCTCCAATGGTCTGAGGGACAGTGAACTGGCCCCCTGTTTAAAAAGTTTGAGGACCCCTGCTTTAGTCCCTGCCCTCTCCATCATCCTCCACACAGCTGTCAATCTCATTTATAAATCACAGTGTTTGACTGTAACCTTCACAGGCCTTCAACCCTTCCCAGGGGGCCCCTTGTCTGCATTTATGGCCTTCAAACTTTCCTGTACATCAGGCTTATTTGGGGGACTTGTGAAATAAGTAGATTGATCCCTGGGCGTCCCTCCCGGAGATTATGCTTCAGTAAATCTCCTTTTCTAACACATACTAGGTTATTCTAATGTAGATTTGGGGGCTCAGAAAGCAATACCCCAAAGAAGACATACTGAGAGGCCTTGGAAGCTGCCTAAAAATTAAGGTCCCTCTGACCTCGTGCTTGTTCCCTACCAAGCTCAGGGAGGAAAGGGTTCTCTCTGGAATTTCCTTATGTGACCAACAAGCTTCTTTCCCAAGGAAATGCAATTGTCTTAACCCTCTCTGCCCCCCTGCTAGGGATCTCATCAAATAACCAGGAAAGATCACCAAAGAGAAGAGACTGGGCGTTGTCTCACGCCCAGACAGACTCTCCGTCTATACTTCTGAGGTTACCTGTGTCGGGTCAGCAGTCTGAAATGTTGGTTCTTGGTGGGCTCCTGGCAGAAGAATGACCAGTCACACCGAAAGCAAGGTAAGCATGAAATGAGGTTTATGGTGGAGAGAGAGGTAGGATTATAGAGCAATAGCAAGATACAGGTTTACAGAGCAAGAACAAGATACATTCACCACAGATGACAAATGGACCCCTTGTTGTAACGAAATGGCCTTGGTCATGGTCTGGGGTCTTCTTTCATAGTGTCTGGATTGGGCCCTCTTTGTGGTTTAGATGTCACCCTCCAACCACCTTGATGGACAGTTGGGAGTTACATAGCCTGAGTCTTACTGCGCATGTGGAACTCCCATGAGCCTCTCTCTAAGCTCATTTGCAGGGGAGAATCACAATGTAGATTTAAGCTAATGACCTGATAATTAGCCTTAGGTTGTCCTAGGTCACCTTCCAGACTCTCTATACCTGTGCCACTTGGCAAGAAGGCTCTGCATTCCTTTGCACTTGGCACGCTAAGTTCTGATTGGCTGATCCGTAGGTGTTCCCTCCTCCCCCAGATGTAGCAATTGCTCGGGGGCATGCACCTTTGTCCCCAGGAGGGGCCAGAGGTCCCTTGCTGTCTACCTAACACCTGGAAGGCTTTATCTGCATAACGAGACAAGCTTTGTTCTGTGTAGCTTTGGCCTTCATCTTCCTCTGACATCTGCCTCCCACCTCCCAGGTCTGAACCTCTCACCCCTGTGAAGACGGTATTTAAGCATCAACCATCTGGCCCCTTTGAGTTCAGATTCTGTATAACTCCCATGCACATGTGTGCACGTTATTAAATTTTGTCTGTCCTTTCTCCTGTGAATCTGCTTTTTGTCAGATGTTTTTGAGAAACCTTCAGAGGGTGGAGAGGCAGTTTTCCCTTGGCCCCGACATCAACAACTCATGGGCTGTATTTTGAGAAATGCTAGCCCAAAGGCGAAGCCCAAATTTTTAGTGTGCTGTATGAAGCACGCTACAATTTGGCGCCAATCTATTTCTACTTTTAAAGCTTATCTTCTAATAGTGATTTCTCCTCTAATCTTTCACCCTTTGCCTTGGGTTCTAATTATGTCCAATTTTTCATTATTCCCCATACATGTTGAATGCAACTCAAGCTCCAAGCCTTTGCTCAAATTCTTCCTTTGTCTGAATGACCTCCAAGTCTCTGACCCTGGTCAGACACTCCCTGAGCTCAATGTCACCTCCTTCTCGAAGCCTCCATGTCTCTCTCAGATAGGACCACCCCTTCCTTGTGTCCCAGAGCACTTTATTACACCTATACTTGTCCTTACCACATTTTATTTTAATTCTCTCTTTAAGGGTCTATGTTCCCTGCTCATTGAAGATTTAGTGCTGATGAAAGAAAAGTGACAATTATTTAGCATCTACTAAATATTGTTCTTGGTGCCAGTGAACCATTCTTTTCACCATAAAAAACAACAAAATAACTACCTGAATGGAGTCCGCCCTTCCGGGCAGTGTGCGGAAGGATTTGCATACATGTTCTCATTTAATATTCACAGCAGCCTTATAAAACTGCTATCATGATGCCTTTTTAATTTTACAGATAAGGAAAGGACAATAACTTACTCAAAGTTGATACCTAATAAACGAAACAGTTGGAATTTATCCAAAATTTGTCTGACTCCAGAGCCTGCCTGGGTGAGCCTGTCTGTCACTGTTATTGAATTTTAAGGTGGAGAAACTTGCTCGAGGGCACCCAGCAAGGGAGAGCCAGGGCTGCGGGACCCCAGAGTCTGGGGAAAGACACCCTTTGGGCATTGGTCCTCAGCATATCTTGACACATGGTTCATTGAATGGAAGCAGGTCTACTGCACATTGATACAGTTCTTATTTTAAGACTCAGAAATGACTTAGCCAGGGTAGTGCAGGTAGAAAGAGGCTGAATTGAGATCCCATCACAGTTGTTTTCATGATCAGGTGAAACTTCTCCATTCTCACAGATGCCTCCTCAATGCTATGGACACTACTTGGATGTGTATTTGGGATTCTGCTCATCATTTACAGCGTTGTTTCACAGGGGGAAAAAAAAACATATCCTGGGGGTGTTTTTAAGACTGTGAACACTTAGGACTTGGGCTAAGTCAGAGCCTTCTCATGAGCTGCCCTGTCACTGTCCCCAGAAGCAGTAAGTAGCTTTTATATCCAGATCCAGGTAGGCGTCTGCAAAGTATTTATGGTTTCAGAATGAAATCGCAGTGTATGTTTGGTACTTAGTCCAAAAAGGAAGATCTGGAAGTGGATTCAACAGCACCAGGAGGCCGATGGGGGGAAGGGGATGTTTTCAAACCCCTTCCCAAACACAGCTCTGCCTGCACACTCAGAGGAACTGAAAAAAAAAACAATCCTGCAGTTAACCCCGTATGTTCTGTGTGACAGCTTATGGCCAGAGCCCGGCATACCCGGTGCTCTCTGATAAGGGATCTGATGTTTTTCTTTTCCTAGGAATTTAGTAAGTCACCGATCCATCTGTCCATTAACCATCTGAAGTCAGCAGGGCCTCTGGTAGTTGGTGCCCAAGCTCGCTTTTCCCTCTGCCCCTTGGCGAAGCTACTCACTCCATCCTGGGGTAGCTGTGAGCTGGGGCTGGGGCTTTGTTCTATCTGGGCTTCTAAAGGAGGAGAGGTTATTGGCTCTTTCCCAGGCTAAAGCCAATGTCATGAGGTCACAGGGTGCTGAGAGAGAGAGAGAGAGAGGGGGGCCCCTCTGTGCACGTGACTGAGCTTCATTGATTTCCACCTTGCCTGGCTGTATCAGTCCGGTCCACCTGCTGCCGGCTGCCAACATGATAACGTGTGCTGCTCAGCTTCCAGGGGAGGTGGTGGTGAAAAATTCATCTCTTGGATGATTCATCAGGCCCCTGCATTCTGATCCACTCCTGCGCTCCCTGCACCCCACCCCTCACCTTATCAGCAGGAAGATCGAGGCATCCGATTTTGAAGAGGTGGAAGTCGGAGGGTGAAATTATTAACCCCCGTGTCAATTCTAATTAATGCAGCTGGCTGCCTGGGTATTTAGTGACTGGAAATGAAATCAATTGGAGTTTTAAAATTTAATATACATAGCTGGCAGCATAAATCAGCAACACATCACTGGGTAACTCACTCCTCTGTAGTTCAGGGGAAGAATTTCTGTCCTCATCGTTATCTGGTGTATTTTACAAATTCTGAAATTAATCCAGAGCTGTTGGCCTCCCAAGAAAGGGCATGCCGGTGTGATGGCTTTGAAAACTCTGACTCCCACGGCAGCTTGGATACGAAAAGAAAATGGAATTTCTATATTTCGCTCATGGCTGTTTTAGTTTAATTCATGATCCCCCCACCCCCACCCCCAGTGGAAAGAAAAGATGAAATGTGTAATCTGGTTTGAGTGAATGTCTGATTTGATCATTTCAACAAAGCCTTCGAGGAATACTCAGTCTTTCTAGGATAAAAATGGTTTGATTCTCAGATTGCCTCCACGCTCTGACTGTTTCTCTTCCTAAAATGGCATCTGGTTTGAAGGCATCTGGTTGGTGGGGGAGTGAGGGACTTTGGCTCATATGACCTCATGAGATGGGAAGGAGCCCAGGTGATTGAGTATAGGGGCTGTGCCTACAGGTATCTCCTTGTCCAGGTTCCTGCTCAAGTGTTTATAGTTTCAGAATGGAATTTCTGTCAAATGTTTGGTTGTTACCTGGGCCTGGCTGGGGGCTTCTCCCGTGCCTGACCCCTGAACCTCTGTGGCCTTGGTCGTTGGATGATGCCTCTGCCCATCTTGGCAGGCTCCTGGCTGTCACCATTAGTGCCAGGAAGTGGCTCAGGAAAGTGAAACCTCAGAGCTTCCCTCGGTCCCTCCTTGGCCTGGCTTTGGGTTGGTGTAAGGCAGCCGGAGAGAGTTCTTTTTCCAGAAGTCTATGCAAGGAGCAGAGGCTGTGCCTTCTTCTATTCTCTCAGGTTCACTTATTGAAGTCCGAATGCAAAGAGGGGTTGGGGGACACGCCTGTCATAGTCCCCCTCTGCTCTCTTCAGCTCTCCCACCATCCTCCAGGCTGGAAGAAGAGTGGGTCTTCCCCTCACTCTCCTGTATGATAATCTCCTTCTTCCATGGGGGTGGCAGGAATTCTGGCCTTCCTGCCCCAGAGGAGGGAGCAGATATTCTAAGTGACAGAAGGATCTGACACTGTGGGATGGGGGTGGGTTGCGTCCCCTGCAGTGAGGACCTGTATGTGACTCCCCCAGGACATCTGGAGGGTGAGAAATGGGCTTACTGTTTTGGGAGTAGAGCCGGAGGGTTGCTTCTGGTTGGGATGGGCCTGCACACTCAGAGTCTAACAGGGCCAAAGACAGTCGGGCATCTCTCCTGCCTGTCTGAGCAGCTGCCTCAAGGGCCCAGCGGGAAGGTCACCCATGAACCAATGAAAACACCCTTGAGAAAGAAGAGGAACCGTCACAAAACCAACCCATCAAGTATAAACCTTCTGGAAATCCCCTTCCCCCTGCCTCTTGCCCATGGAACGAGAGAATATTCAACTCTAAATTAGTTTTGGAGACTTGATTCTTATGCAGGGATGGGCATTCGAATTATTAAACTGGGGCTGTGTTTCCTGCCATAACGACTAAAGGCAAGCAGGAACATCTTGGAGCCTACTGGTGTTTTCATCTAGAGATGGGGGAAAACTTTCTCACTGAATCTATCTTTCAAACTTTAAAGAAAATTGAACCTTTTATTTTGACATAATTGTAGATTCCCATGCAATTGTAAGAAATCACACAGAGAGACTGTGTACTGTCAGCCAGTTTCCTTGCAAGGATGACATCTTGCCAAATCATGGTACAATATCTCCACCGGGATGTTGACATTGATACCACAAGATGCAGCACAGTTCCAGCACCACGAGGACCCCTCCTGTCACCCTGTCTAACAACAGCCCCCCACTTCCCACCCCTCCCCACCTTCCTTAACCCTGGGCAACCACTAATCTCTCCATTTCTATATATTTTTTTCATTTCAGGAGTTCTACATAGATGGAATTACATGATATGTGGGCTTTTGGGGTTGGCTTTTATTCACTTATCCTAATTCTGGAGATTCATGTGAGTTGTTGCATGTAGTTTATTTATTTATTTTTATTTCCTAGTAGTATTTCTGTGGTATGGATATAGCATAGTTTGCTTAACCATTCACCCATTTAAGGACATCTGGGCTGTTTTCTGTTTTTTGGCTGTTAATGAATAAAGCAGCTATAAACATTTGTGTCCACGTTTTTGTGTCAACCTGTCTACATTTCTCTGGGATAAATGCCCAGGGCTGTAATTGCTAGGTGGTATGGTAGTTTGCATATGTAGTTTTTTAAAGAAATTGCCACACTTTTCCCAGAGTGGTTATAGCATTTTCCATTTCTATTAGCAGTGTATGGGAGATCCAGTTTCTCTGTGCATATATTTTGAAGCAGCGGTCCCCAACCTTTTTGGTACCAGGGATTGGTTTCATGGAAGACAATTTTTCCATGGATGGAGGGGGGTGGTGGGTGCTGGGGGCGGGATGGGGGATGGGCAGGGGAGGCGGAGCTCAGGTGGTGATGCCCGGGATGGGGTGCGGCTGTAAATACAGATGAAGCTTTGCTAGCTGCCCACTGCTCACCTGCTGCTGCTGTGCAGGCAAGGAGGGGGGAGGGGGAAGGAGGCAGAGCTCAGGTGGTGATGTGAGGCCCAAGGCCCACTTCCCAACAGACCATGGACTGGTACTGGGTCACAGCTTGGGGGTTGGGGACTGCAGTTTTAAAGGTTTAGTGAGAAATAAAAATAAAGCTGCTTTTTGATGACAGTCCCTAGGTGGTGCCTCTCTCGCCTTTGTAAATAGCAAGTCTGACCTGTCTGGCTCACTCAAAGGCAGCAGGGTCTCCAGGGCAGCGGTGCAGTGGTACCAGGGGCTGGCCAGAGAGGCACCCCAAAGCTTGCTCACCAACCCTGTTCCCTCCCAGGGGTCTTCCACATTCATTGGCCAGAGCTGTGGCAGCGTCCTTGGATTGGAGCTACTTTTCTCGTTATGGAAACAAGAGAATCTTTTCTGTCTGAGCACAGTAATGACTATTAAAAGCTGCAGTCACATGGTGGGCTGGAAGTGGTGATTCAGAGAAACTTTTGTCTTTTCACTCCCAGAGGGGTGCCAGATGGAAGGGTTGTGTTGGGAAGGGAGAGGGAAGCATGGGGCTCAGACCAAAGCTAGGAAGGAGGTTGCTTCCCATAGAAAACCCTTCACAGGCCAGTTTAACTCCTCAGTTGCTAAGGAGGCCAGAGCTTCTATCAGAGTTCAGCAGCTGCGTAAAATTTGAGTCTGAAAGACTTTATATGCTTAGGCTCTGGAACTAAGGGTCTCAGTCCTGTGTGTCCTTAGCCAAGTGATTGTAACCTAAGTCCCAGAGATCTCATCTATAAAATAGGGACACTGATAGCGCCTCCCAGGTTTATTATGAGGACCAAATAGGACACCATATGTGAAGTCCTTAGGACAGTTGGCTGCACATTGGAATTACCCAGAGATCTTTAAAGAATACCAATGTCTGGGTCTCACTCCCGGAGATTAGGATCATTAC